GTTGACCAATTTTGTCATGATTTGCGCCACAACGTTGCCTTATCATTGGCCAAGTCCCCGCACCAATTTGTTTCCATTTTGAATGCATCCTTTGACATTTAGAAAGTTTAAAACGAAGTGCGCATATAAATATTTCCGATGCCTCAGTCTGGGTAAATTTAACCATACTCCTGTATGTTGGCAAATTGAAGCTCAACGTATGTATGGTACTGCAGCAATATGACTTGGGGTACACCCTTCATGGGAAACAATCTCCGAAGTCTTGGTGTATTTTTTATCTGACATTGATTGCGGTATACAGAAGATTTCAATGTGCGCATATAATTATTTCGCGGGCTGTATACTCGAACAAAGGTAAGAAAGATAGCCATTTTTAACTGTGGATGTTCAAGTCCTCCTACAGTATAAACAATATTATTCGGTAACCGAACGATTTACATAGTTGGAGGTTTACTTGAAACATACGACGAAAGCAAAACCATTGACAGTTGGTGAAGGGTCATTTTGCAACCAGCACAATGCACACGTCCGAATTTGAACAAGCCATTGCTGTATATTCAGGCAAACAATTAAATCGTGGTAGTTGCAATGGCGTCTCTACAAGACCACTTGGTTGAATTCACACCACCACATCGCTTGGAGCTTGAGCCTAACGGACTTGGGTGGGCGATAGTAAAAGGCGAAATGGCCGTCAATACAGTCACCAGTACCACAACCTTCCGGCCATTCTTACTCGGCTAAGCCAGCCATCCCGAGGCTGCAAGAACGAGGCTGAAGAATTAGTGCAGCACACGTACCTCCTGGCTGCTAAAAGCAACGCTGAAACTTGCGACTGACTCATCAGGCTACGACAGTGAATTTTCTACAGACGTTCAAGTATCTTTTTTTAGTATACTTGGTAATGCATATTCAGTTTTGATTCAGGTGACATCAAAGGTGAGAGGACCATATGCAACTGTTCTTTTGATTAGAACTCTATTAAGTAATAGAATTATCCGTCGGCTCATCGCGATCATGTCGACCACTGTCAATTGCTGCGTATTGCCCAAGACGCAGACCTGTGTCTGCAGCGTTTCAATCGATATTTCGTGGATTTTTGGAACGTGAAGTCGTGGGTTCATGGCTGCCCCATGACCTGCTATCTGGTAGGTTGCCTCGGGTGGCTCTATTGCTCCACGGTCTTCCATCGCTATCTCCAGGCGTCCCCTTTAGGGTATGGTGGATATGTTGCACCTTTTTGCTTTACGCGCGCTAAAGAGTTGTATATTTTTTGGCTAACTTGCACTTGTGCACATTTGACTGGGATGTGTTGAAGTCTGACTGCGCGTGTGTTGACAGTTCGCGACACCATTCAGTTAGCTGTTTTCTTTTGATAATCGTATGTGGGTATTTATTGATAGAGTGATGTGTGAAGTGTATCAACTTGAAAAATGGATAAATGTATTATGGCAGTATACGCCTATTATAGAGGAAACCAAATACAGCACTAATCCGAGTCGCTATCCTCATCACTGGAATTCCCACTCTCGGCAGACGAATCTTCATCAGACTCCATTGCGTCCACTTGGATGATATGATCGTGTAATGCTTGCAACTTATCCTCCGCGGAACGCACGCACCCTTTGATTGAATGAGGCTTGAGGTTGGCATATGCTACCTCAAGCCGAGTCTTCAGTTCGGAAAATTTCGTCATGTCAGTGCATTGACGGCCAACTTTCCCCTTCACAATCGCCCAAACCAATTCGATTGGTTGAAGATTAGAATGGTGGGGTGGGGTGTAGATGACAGTGTGCCCCCGACGCTTTGTCATGTCCACGATCACAGGATGGATGTTTGCCTTGATGTACACCGCCGCACAGCTGGCTCTTGTATTCGTCTTCAGTTACTTCGATTTCATACGCAGCACAAGCTTCCACCAGGACACCCTTGCGGCGTCGGCTTGTGGGTGTCGATGTTGGGAGGGACTTGTGGTACTTGGCGTTGTCAAGAACAATCCACGCATTCGTGATGCCATCTGCATCCAATTCATCCAACAGGCGCTCAAACCACTTGACGTAGTAGGCATGGTCGAACATCCCATGATAGACCTTGGGCTCCTTGCCTGTCTTGGGACCTTGAGGCTCGCTACGAACCACCGGTGAAAATGTGCAGCGCCATGACCTTGCTCGGCATAGTTGGGGAGTAAAGCACAGCCGCAATAAAGCAGTAGCGTCTCCCTTTGTGCTTCTCTTTGGACGGGATGTCGTTCTCCTCCGATGGGCCGTACAAGCTCTGATGGTGCGCCTTGTAGTGGTGGTGGATGAAGGATTCGTCGGTTTTCATAATATGTGGTCTGTCCTTGCCCAGAATATGTGGTTGCATTTTGCGCACGTATGCGTCACGAGCTAGAGCGTTGGCCTTGGACAGGTGGTATGTGAACGACCCGTTAGGTCGACCTCGTTTGTAACCAGGAACCGTTGCACCGAACGAAGGGTCGACTTGAACACCTTCTTATCGTTGATGTCGAAATCAAGGACGAACATCCCTCGGAGGCGCCATGGCGTCACCGCGGTAGTCCGGGTGCGAGTTGCGCGGAGGTCACGGACAAATGCTTGCACCATCTGCACGACCAGCGTGGACCGTGGGACTTTGGTGATGTGCGTTGTTCGATTACCCGATGTTGGCGCAACTGTCACGGTCTGATACTGAAGGTAATCTCTCCACACCTCTTGGACGAGGGTAATATTGCGCCCCAGGGCGTCTGCAACGGATCTGGATGCTGCTTTGACACCCTGGGACCGGAACCATGCTTGCAAACGGAGAATATCGAGACGCTCCTCTCTGGTCACGTTACAGTGCCAAGCATCCTTGACAAACGCGAGGCATGCATCAAGTGTTACGTCCATGGTGTGTGCAGGATAGTAAAATTAGGTCGAATCCGCATCAATTTTTAAACGATGACAGGGTGCCAACTTGCAGAGTTCCTTGTGTACCGAATACGACCAAAACTGTATAATTTAATATTCAAAAACGATTTTGTATATAAAGACACAGGTTATTTCCTTTCTGGGTAAAAAATGACCTTAACTCAAGGCTTCACGTGAAAAAAATTCAAAGACAATTAGATTTCAGAGGGTTTTAATCATACAGGTTTGTAAAAGGATGGTTTCCGCATCAACTCATCAAATTCACAAAGGAATTGACCTACTTTTGGCCAAGATATATAAAAAACAGTTCAATGCTGACTCGAACTGTGAGTCAATACGTCGAATTCCAAAGTTTATCCGGATAAATATATCCAACCGCTGTATCCAAACGACGCAACATGGGCAGAACCTAGCGGTACCATGATGGAACCTCCGGACCCTCGAGGCAGTGTTGTAGCTCGACGCCTAGTTGACGATACAATTAAGCGAGATTCTGTCGGCAATGAGCTGGTGCCCTTGCAATTCAACTCAATTTCCACATTTAATTAATGCAAAAGCGTAACTAAGTGTATGTTCAAAGAAGTAACCATCGAAATATCACCGGAACTCGACACTTTCTTGAAGCGAACTAGTCGCATGTCTTGCATCTTTTCATTCGCACAACATAGATTTTGCGTCTGGTTACAAGCAAAAAATAGCCCTTCTGAAGGAAGGAGGTGTCATTGCGCTTGGTGAAGGCAAATCGCCAATGCTTCAAGAAGGTATGTTCAATTAGAATCGCAGCCTCCAACGTTGGCACAGGGTATACATTTTTGTGTAAGACAGGGATATCTTCAACGGGCGACTTTACCTCAAGCACCGCGGCGCACCTTCTCCTTGTTTTCTGTTGGAACTTGGTGGCCAGAGCAGGATCAATGGCGTCCATCCGATTCAACAACAATACGTGGATCGGTGCCAGCGCAGGAGTCGATCCATGGGGCGTTGCACCAAGTTCCCGAAAGATACATTGCCCCACAAGTAAGACATACGACATGTGGAACCTCTGGTGGAACGGAAGTCGTGTTGACAATTCTGCACCCTTGCGAAAGCTTCAACGAAAACACTTTGTCAACAACGCCGACCGCGTAAACTTCTCGAAGGCCTCTGCAGTCGTGAATTCAATTTTGACCTACAGTAACGTGAGAGGCAAAGACGTCCAACGAATGACGAACCCAGAGCGAAATGTACTCAACCAAACATGCATTCAAAAGCTGTGCGATGATATTTCGACGGTCAATCCAAGGCCAAAGTCAAGAAGCGACGAGTGGATGAATTAGCGTGTCATACAATCTGTAGTGATTATACGGATCTAACCAATGATGTCGCGACGTCGTGTGTGCGTGGTCGGCCGCATCCGCGACACGGCCGCTTGAATATTACAGAGTGATCTTTAGCTAGAACGATTTAACGATGACAATTGAATCACTTCCAAATTTCCTCTGCGCTATCAACACCCTACACAATCTATGATATGATCAAGAAGAATACACAACGTGAGGAGTAAACCTACGCGCTAATACAACTTGGTGCGAACAGTGTTGCTTCACGAGTAGAAACATAGATCACTCTGTAATACTCAAGCGGATGATGAAAACTTTCATGCAGAAGACGAACAGTGGATGCTGTGGTGATTGCAATGATCAAGCACTCAAGCTAATTGATTTTTCTCACTGGGGTTTAATGAACGTTCTAACGATAAAAAACATTAGGTAACCCACAGACGCAGTTGTACGAAGATCCGATGCCAACCTGATACGTTACCGTCCGTCTTTGCGCCTGCAAACATCCTATCACTAAGGCGTCTTTGAAGCTCAACCACTCGAAAGGGACTGTGGTGCGAGCACATATGAATGCTTTTCGTGACCTGGAATCGACTGTAGAATTGAGGCACAAGGTTTGCTTGGCATGGCGCCGTCTTGATTGTGTTGGCAACTCTACGTCGAAGCTTGACGCAGAGGTTCTTGTGACTTTAGCTCGGTCATGACGATTGTCAGAGTGTTGGTTGGGTTCTTCTGCATCGCTTTTGTGTCATTCGTAAAGTATCAGTAAACCAGAAGTACTACTCTGGATCAAAGTAGTTGCATGGTAAGACATCCGCTATGTGAAAATATCTAAACGTCGCCCAAATTCAGAGGCGATTGGTGCATTCAAAAGCGCAAGATCTCTACTTTGATAGGATAGTTTATGAGCATTCTAAAGCGTTTCATGCGATATAGGGTGCGAAAACTGCCGTGTCACTTCGTCCAAACTTCGACCTATCACACTATCCTCAAACATCATTTTCATATCGCACGAACAGCACACACTCATCACTCTACACTAAACCACGCCAATGCAACATGATATCAGCACTGCCGACCACGAACGGAACCCCCATGGCCGATACCGGCAAAACACTTCTCGTCACGAGGAGCGCCGCGCCATCTACGAGAGCCTGCTTTCCGTCTCGTCCTCTGACACAATGCCTTGTGGTGTTATCACGCGGCTCGCCAAGCAGTTTAACTGCCACTGGGATACTGTGTCGTGCGTTTGGGTCCGCGGATTGCGTTCGTCCCGAGTGGGCCACATGTGTGCCGATTTCACATCGCAAAACCAAGATTACCACCACCTTCAACGTGGAGTGCGCTGATTATAACTATGATAGTGTCTTGATCCATATGAACATTCAACTTGGAGAAGATGCTTCTGAAGTGATATACTTATACTAAATGGTTCTGGATCGAGTACCACAATTTAATCAAGTCAAACGAAGGCAGCAACTGTGTCGTACTAGAGTAAAACTCCTAAAAATCGAAATCATATCAATTTTTGTCGGAGTGTTTATTCCGACAAAAGTTGATGTGATTTTGCAATTTACTAATGTTTTGCAAGGGCTTCTTCTACGACTCGCCAAGCGAGCGTTCCTCCAAACAAGCTGAAATATGTATCGAGTACTGTCCAAAGCAGAAGACGAAACATGATTTTTCACAATTATTGAAATAATTGATTCTTCTACTGTAGTTGCTAGAGCGCAAAAATGTGGTGTGATTCGACGACGTGCTTGAGGTCACTCTTCTTCTTCAACCTGCTCCGGATCCCTGGTGACTTGGTTAAATGGCTGCTGCATTACAACAAACGGGCGCTTACATATCGTAGCAGCGCAAACTTGCGCTGCTGTTGGTGTCGTGTACAACTGCCTCATCGACCTCCACGAACTCTTCAATTGACAATCTTACCGGCTTTCTTGGGCTTGCCAGGTAGCTGTCGCGCAGTTGAGTCGGCAACGGTGATTATTTGCACGCAAACTCCTTATCGAACCCATGTACGCAATTATACCTAGAGTGTTCACGTCAACCGTCCATCCACGTATTGATTCATTGAGTTTTTCAGGTAGCCGGCTTCATTGAATGTTTTCCATCAGGATGATCGAGCAGCTGCACGTTGCGGTTGAGGTATGTCAATAGCAAGTGATTGGTGCGAGGAGGCTCGTGCAGTTGTGGAGGGCCCAAGTTGTCAACTTACACTTTGTGATGGCGTAGTCCAAGTTGCAGGATCATCTTGAGGGTTTGGATGCACTTCGAATGCTTCGTTCTTCTTCTGCAAGTTGTAGTGTTGTAACAACCGTCTTGTCACGCGTGGTTCCGTCCAGAATTGAATGCCACTCTTAGATTCTTCATGAAGAATGCGGGTAAGAACTTGAATCCAGTGAACCAACTTGAGGCGCTGGTGCTGAAGTTCCTTATGTCATGCTGTCCATTAGACTGCGTTGAACGTAGGAGTACCTTCTTCATAATAGCGTTAAATAGCTCATTGGGGTTATTTGTTGTTTCATCGTCTTGATCTGTGTGAAACGTTTGCCACCTCAATGACCGGTTTGCTGTATCGTTGGATGGTGTATCTGGCATAACCGGAGCATGCATCCACAGGCGAAAATTTTCAGATTAACTTCCTCACGCGCTGCGACCTTTCTCTCCACTGAGCTCCGACAACGCGGGCAGCAATGTCGAGATGAACACGGTCTTGTGTGGTGTGCAAGTAGTAGATATCCCTTGTAACATCGTCCCATTCAGAACATGAAAATTTGAAGTTGACGGCAAAATCTGTACATAGCTTTGTCGTGTATAAGGTACCAACCGAGTGGGATCTCAGACGCTGTACCATTTTCGTCACGTGGAAGAAGCGCATGATGTACTTCGTTAATTCGCCAAATTGGCCTTGCACGCCGTTGAATTGAGCAACATCTGCATCCCCATTACAAAAGGGGGAGCGAACTGTTTGGCGCGGTAGACTTGAAAGACTTTTGAGCGAGTTCTGCTGATCGACAGCAGTCAAGAGAAATCGTCAGTCGTACGCTGGGAAATGATGGCAATACAAACGGCATGGAAGCACCCACAGTCA